AGCTCTCTGCATGTTTGTCGTGTAGCAGTAACTTAACATCTCCTTTTAATTTCTTCAGTTCCTGCTGTGTATCACTTCGTGTTTAGAACTCATATTCCAAACCTGTACCCACAGCACCACCTCTAGCTGCTAGGGCCTGAGGTGGAGTCTTATGCAGGTCACATCAGTTAGGCTTTTGTGTGCATTGATTGGACTCTCTTTGAATGATATTCTGCTTGACTTCACTTGTGACTTGCTTTTAGCAACTTTCAGGAATGTAATTATCAACCTGCTATGGGTTTTGTGAGTGGTGTTATTTGTTGTTGTTTTTTTTTTTTTAATGTGCTTTTTCCTTTGTATGTTTGATTGGTGTTATTTTTTTTGAGAAGACATGTCATGAAGGGTAGAGATGTATGCTTAACTGTGCAAAGAAAAATAATTTCCAAAACTTTCCTGTGTGTCTGTGTGTAGGAAACCACAAAAAATATCCAAACTAAGTAGTGCAGGGTCTCAAATAGGTCAGAAAAGATCTGAATGCCACTTAGGCCCTATATACATCACATACATACACACATACAGATACAGGCTAAAAAGTTGTCTGGAAATGCTTCAGTCACTGTTATTGCCATCACTGTGAAATTACTTTACCTGGGGAAGTGTATCCCAACTTCTGGACAAAATTTGGAGGTGGTCAGAAAAGATAACTTCAGCAAAGGAGAATTAAAAGGAACTTGTGCATGCTCATCGATGGCAGTCACTTGTTGATTTATTTTGTTTGTTGTTTTTACTGTGTTTTTTAAATCGAAGTTTTGAGCTTCAATCATTAAGATTTTTTTCAACTATTAAAAAGATGCTTCAGTAAGGTGTTACCTAACTTCTGAAAAGAAGTTTTTAAAAAGCTTATGAGAAGTATCTAGAAATGTGCAGGGTTAATATTTCAATGTGATGCAACAGTTTATGGCCTTCTGAATTCCAATCTTCTACAGCAAAAGAGGTGCTACTTTGTGCGGGTACAAAGCATCAATCACAGCTTTAGAAAAGACATCAATTCTTTACTTCATTACTATGGCAGCTGAAACGTGATCTCATTACAGTGCATGTAGCATATGTGTTCAAAATAAAGCCACTGAGATGGGCCCACAAACAGCTCCCATTCCTCTCAAACATTTAACACACAAGCCTGCACCTCTTCTACTTATTTTTAAGTATGATTTAATTCTTTTTGTGAGGCAAAGATTACGGTTTGTGCACTTTGCAATGCAAATTCTGCAGATTTTTTTCAGGGGAACAATCTGAGTAAAGCCATTAAATGATGAATTTCATACGCCATTTCCAGGATCCCTCTACAAGTCGTCTTCTCTCATCTCACCTCCCTTGTGTTCCTTGCCATGCCATAACACCTTAGTAAAGAAGGAAATAAATGACTTCAGATAAGGCAAGAATCAAATATGAAAATTCAGTTATAAAATTTTCTTCAGCTTTTGATACAAAATCTTTCAGTAATTTAACCAAAACTAAGCAAAAAGAAAACAGATACTTAGTAAGTATCTTACTAAGATACTTAGTAAGTTAATCTTGGGGATTTCCCAAGAAAACATCCATCCACAGAAGTACAGAAACAAGAAAGAGGATGTCACTGCAGCTAGATTGCCAGAATTAGGGCACTTGCATGTTCAGTCAGGTTAATTGTCTATGGTATATGCGATGTTAGAGACGTGGATGACTAGAATGGCTTTATCTGCTCAGACATGTGAATTGAACTGAGAAACAATCACAGAACAGGCACAAACGGTTCATAGATGGAAGAGAGCTATTCATGCTATTAGCTTCTCAAGTGAAAGATGAATGTGCTGTCTCTTAGCTGCTTTCAAATTACACGTACTAGATTTACTGAAGAGTCAGTCTGTGTGTCTGAGCGATGGTACTGCATGTATATTTGCAGGTGCAAGGCCTCAAAAAATGCTACAATAAAATAACACAATATAGGCCTGACAAAAGTTGTCCGTGTAGTATTTTCTGTGAAAGTTTTATAACCTTGCTATGCATGCTTCCCTACTGCTGTCTCCTGTGTTATATCCTTTGAAAAAAAAATGACTTCTTACAGTCTTACGTCCCTTCCCCTGCACCCATCAGTCATTTCAGTTCTGACTTGGGCTGTGTCAACCACAGAAATAGCATACAGTAACAGGAGAGCAGTGTGGAGCAAAGCACTGTTGAGGAACTGAGGCATATATTTCAGGTTCTGCTTCAGACTGGTTTGCCTGTTCCTCTGGCCTTGATGTCCATTAGCTGTTGGAGTACATCAGCTAGCCTTCCAGTTCAGGTCCTTCAAAAAAGCATGTCTGGAATTACTCAGAAATACAAATTGAAGCGTGTAAGTAGGAACCAGCACAGTTCCTGCTAAAGTATGCTCATAATGCGATATGGAACACTAATATAAAGACAATCTGAAGCAAAAAATAAAAATAGTAATAATAACAACAAAGGGGGAAAAAAAAAAAAAAAAAACAGCCACCAAATACCATTTTGGTTTCTTTTAGAATCATAGAATAGCTTGGGTTGGAAGGGACTTTAAACATGGTTGAATTCCATCCTTCAAGCATTTAAATGTTTTTCCATTGATTCAGGATCACCTCAGTGGGTACATGCTACAGTGTAACTGCCTGATGGCTTCTGTTAAGAAACTTGCCTTAGATACGAATCAAGGCTTGATGGCAATTTGCTTGTTCACTAGCTGATGAATACTGAAGAATTATTTACAGCCTTTCTCGAGATCCAGTACTCCTTAATGCTGTTTCTGGCTCACTAGTACTATTTGCAATGAAAAAAAAAAAAAAAAAAGAAAAAATAAATGAAATTTTCCAAAAAAAAAAAAAAAAGCTTGTTTGTTCTCCACCCCCCCACCCCCCAGAAATAAAGAATGATCTGCAAGCTTTTGAGGTTTGTCTGTGTTTGGCCTACATCAGACCCCATGTTTCCAAACTCTACTAAAACCAAGAAATCACGGATGTATTGTTTAGGTGTGCAAATGACTCATACTCTGGCTTTCTGTGTATTTGTTTTAAATTTAGGGGTGGGCACCTACAGGATACTTGAAATAATTTTAAGTGTTCTAATTGAGTGGCTTGTTTCACCTATGAGACTTTCTCTGTCAGAGTACAGTGTACCACAATAGTATGTAAGTCCAGCAATGCATCTTTAGCATCATTTGTCCATTACACCTGCTGGGAATGCTCCTAATTCTGATCATGCTAGATTGGCGGCTCTCATCCAGTGTAACTAGAAACCTGCTATCAGGTCTTTCCTCCAAGTTAGTCGCTGCTTTACTAGCTGATGTCAAGCTGAGCTTAAGAAGTAGTTTGCTGTTTCTGTCAATGACTTTGGTTTCCACACTGAAGTACTCACTCATTGGTGGGACATGTTGATAAATCTTACTTACTTACTTACATCTTGATAAATTACTGCTCCTGGCTTTACGAATACTAATGACTTCTGTAGCTGAGACATCTCCATTTCCATAAACACTTTATCCTTGAAAGCCCTTAAACTACACAAAATTATAGCTATGGTCATTTTATTTTGTTGGTTTTGTCAATACACTGGGAGTAGAGAAATCATCATCAGTTTTGGCATAGATCAGCTTTTTTTGCTGTTTCTCTTAGAGTGTGTTAAGTGTTTCTTTTACCTGCAACCCCCCTTTAGGCCACTAATACTATAAAGTGAGATACAGTGAAATCTCCTAAGACTTGTTTTAATAAGGATTAAGAGTGTTTTGTGCTTGCTGGCTTCACCCTGTGGTGGATTCTCGTAGTTGAGGGTCTGATTCGTTAAGATTCAGTCTGTAGAAGCACTTCAAAAGTAGTTGGCTCACTCATGAGGCATGTACCTTTCTGGCTTGAGTCAGAGTGGTCTTATGATCATAGTACAGATTAGGAGTGGACATCCCACTAAAATGAGACCAAGTGGACTTTACAACAGTGGGAAGCTTTTAATTGAGCTCAACTAATTTGTTAGCTATTATACTGTATTTTAACCACCTCAAATTGAAGTATACATGTTGTGCTTTTTGGCTATTGTTTTTTTTAATACACCATATAGACAAGTGGCAGCTGCATACTGTAATGCTTTGCTCTGCTTAAGGTCTGCTCTGCTTAAGGTTCTGATTGTGGCCTAAGAAATGAGGACAAGGTATCCTGTTTTCTTCCTTTAGATGCAATATTTGGCTGGAGACAAACAGCCCACATAGCTTTAATTAGAGGAAGCCCTTACTGCTTCTGATTTTTAATTTGCATATTTTTATATTAATAAAAGTTGAAGCCATGACTCTGAGAAGAGGGAGGCAGAGTTAAGCAGTTCTTTCTATAAAACTCTCAGAACAGAAATTGGCATATCTCTAGGGTACAGTCTAGCTCACTGCCTCACTACCCTCTGCACCCCTTCAGCTCACATTCCACATGAGGAGTGTAAGTTACCTCAGTGTATGAGGTTCAGTAGGGATATTATAGTGGTTGATGCCAATCGAGACGTTACTATATTATTCTACTATAGAATGAGTGACACAAGTTCCCATGACATGCTGCTGAGAAGTTCTATAAGTTAGCTACTTTGTATGCCCTGATAATGCTCTTATATGCTCTGATAATGATCCTTAATTCTCATTTTGAATAACTAAACATCAAATTTGGTCCATTACATCATGATTAAATGATGGAAAAATGGATGGATGCAGAGTTTGCTGTATGAAACATTGCAAATATTGCTTAACCAATACTTTGTTAACCTAAGTGCTTAGGAATGGTATCAGTGCTGGTCTAATGATCTTCTAAAGATACCCTAAGTGAAAAGAATGGACCATATTACCAATGTTTAGATTAACCTGGGAATTCAGACTTTCCTTTTTAATTTCACGAGAACATCTCATGGTGTATGGAACACCCCATGTATAGTTTATGTTTACGACACATCCTGGTTCTGCCTTTTAAATTAATCTCAGCTAGATGGTTTCTTTATCTTTCTTCCAGAAAAGACGACGACGCATAGATCGAAGCATGATTGGGGAGCCAACAAACTTTGTTCACACAGCTCACGTTGGATCGGGAGACCTATTCAGTGGAATGAATTCGGTAAGCATCTGTGGATGAAGATATTTTATCTTAGACAGGGTACAGGAACATTGTAAGAGGCTAAAGCAATGAAGAATGATTCTCTACTGAATTGTGACAGGGAGGCTCTGTGTAAAACTGAAGAATAACTACTAGTGTGTTAATTCCAAGCCTTAGTCACTCACATTTTAGATTATGATATCCTGTAGTTATTGACAATGTCCTGGTGGACAACAGGTTGGCCATGAGCCAGCAGTGTGCCCTCATGGCTAAAAAGGCCAATGGCAACCTGGGGTGCATTAAAAAGAGCGTGTCCAGCAGGTCGAGGGAGGTGATCCTCCCCCTCTACTCTGCCCTGGTAAGGCCTCATCTGGAGTACTGCGTCCAGTTCTGGGCTCCCCAGTATAAAAAGACAGGGATCTCTTGGAAAGAGTCCAGCGGAGGGCCACAGAGATGGTGAAGGGCCTGGAGCATCTCTCCTATGAAGAAAGGCTGAGTGAACTGGGTCTGTTTAGCCTTGAGAAAAGACGACTGAGAGGGGACCTGATCCAGGTCTATAAATATCTAAGGTGTGGGGGGCAGAATGGCGAGGCCGGACTCTTTTCAGTGGTGAGTGGAGACAGGACAAGGGGAAACCGACATAAGCTGCAGCATAGGAAGTTCATGTGCACAAGAACTTCTTCATGGTGAGGGTGACGGAGCACTGGAACAGGCTGCCCAGGGGGGTTGTGGAGTCTCTTTCTCTGGAGATATTCAAGTTGCCTGGACGCCTACCTGTGCGACCTGCTGTAGGGAACCTGCTTTGGCTGGGGGGTTGGCCTCGATGATCTCTGGAGGTCCCTTCCAACCCCTACAATTCTGTGATTCTGTGATGTTGCAGTCTATCCATGAGCGTCGGTCATGGTTATGTGATTGGTAGCTCGCACAAAAGGCCCAGGAGAAGGGTTTATGGGTGCCACAGCCACACTGGGTGCAGAGAGCACCGGGTCTCGTACGGCACAGTGTGTGTAGGGTGTGCGCATGAAGGATGAACCTCGGAAAGGACAGACCCTGCGAACAACGCGTGCTTCTGTGTTCTAATCTTTTATTGGAAACGCGTACGCCCCGCTAGAGGCGCCGGGGGCGCCGCCTCTTGGAGGGCGGGGGAGCGCGCTGGGCGCTGCCGGCCCTCCTCTTCGTGGGGCGCCGGGCCCCCCCAGCCGAGCGCTTCCTGCCCCGGCCGCGAGCGGAGGGGCCGCGGCTGCGGCGCTGACCAGAGGGACCGGCTTCCTCGGGACCCGGCTCCTCGCCATTACGTGTGCCCAGGGCCCCGCTGGACGTGCCGGGGAGCTCCTCTGCGTCGGGACCCGCGGAGCTGCCGGAGGGCACGGCGCTGCGAGCGACGGTGTCTTGCGGGGAGGCGGCGGGACCGGACGGGGCCGCGGGGCCGTCCTGCTGCTCCTGGGCAGCGCTGGGATCTTCGACGCCCAGCAGCCTGCGGGCCGCCTGGCCGCACCGGCTCTCGATAGCGGTGATGAGGCCGTCGACGAGCGGTGCGGAGCTGGGTCCCAGGGCGTGCTCTGTGCACTCCACCAGGACGACCCGGTCCGGCCCCACCTGGCACAGGAATGCCAGGATCATGCTTTTGAGCCAGTTGATCTTCCACCATCGCAGCTCCCCATTGCGGCGCAATTCTCGCTCCAGCCAGGGCAGCACCGGGTCGAGGATGTCTCGATGGACCCTGAAAAGTGCCGCCCACTGCTCCAGCAGGAGGCCGCCCACTCGCTCCGGCTCCTCGGCCATGGGCTCCGGGGACGGCGGTGGAAGGGGTGGCAGAAGTTCCTCCTCGCCGTCAGGGTCAGTGGCAGCGGTGGCGCCGAAGCCGGCGGGCACCGGCAGTGCGGGCGGGGAGACGATGCAGTCCACGAACTGATTGTCTCCCCGCACAGAGACCCGGATGGTCTGCATGGCCGTCCTGCAGAGCGGGCAGCTGTCCCTCAGCCTCGCCCACCGCTGGATGCAGCCAAGGCAGAAAGTGTGATTGCACGGAATCACACAGGCCGTGTCCCGCCGCACGTCGCGGCACACAGGACACGTCCATGCCTCTTCTGCAGCCATGGTCTTCTCGCTGCAGGGGCTGGGAGAACCGAGGATGACCAGCTGTTCTCCCTCAACGCAGCCGCAGAGGTGCTGTCTGCCCTGCAAGAGGAAGGAAGGTCACGGTCACTCGCTGTGCCAGGGTGCCAGTCCTCTGCCAGTCCTCTGCCAGTCCTCTGCACAAAGCCCTCCCAAGGCCACGACTGGGCCTTCTCGTGCTCCCCGCTGGCACAGGGCCAGGCTCCCCACGGCTGCCCTGAGGGACCCAGGTGTCCCCACACCACTCACCTCCGCTGCTGCGGGTGCGCTCCGTAGGGGCCCGGCTGCCTGCACGAGGCAGGGCCGGGAAAACAGACGCGATGCTGCGGGGTCAGGCACTGAGATGCTGCGAGCAGCCCCAGGCACGACCCAGCACAGCACAGCCAAAACCTTGCTCGACCTCCAAGCCTCGCAGAGCTGCTCAGCACGGTCCAGGAACGAGCCAGACTGAGCCAGGCGCAGCCGGCACCCCACTATGAGCAGTGAGGGCAAGGCTGTCACAATCCGTCACCCGGCGACGTCACAGCCTGTTGCTCGGTGACATCACAGACTCATCTGGATTGGCAAAGACCTCCAAGATCATCAAGTCCAAACTTTAACCTAGCACTTCCAAATCTACCACTAAACTATGTCCCTAAAGGCCACATCTACATGTCCTTCAAGGCTGGGGACTCATTTTCTTATCTGTCCAGGAAGAAAAGACATAGTAAAATAGCTTCTCCTGAAAGGCAAGCAAACTGTCATAGGCACTAATTGGCCAACAGCAGTCACCAGCACTGAGAGGAGACATAAAGAATGTCATTTTAAAACAGACTTACAGGGCATGGTCTCCTACTCCGTAATGCCAGCTCGATGTCAGTGTAGTCCCACTGTCCAGTCTCACAGCAGCTTTATTCCTGCACAGACAAACCGTCTTACACATTTTGCACATTACAGTTTCTCAAACATAGATGGTGATACATATTAGTATAAGTTTTCAAGGAGCACAATGGTGAAATGCTTTACACAATACAACATCAGATAACAATTGTCAGTTCCAGAAGGATTATACGCTGATAGGTGTTTGCTTCATTAATTACATGTGCATGCATATGTAGCCTTCCGCATCATGCTGTAAGATGGATGCGTCTGATGATCACTTATCATGCACTTTGAGCAACATGGTCCAAACATAAACATGTACATTAGTGGGAGATTTGAATAGAACAGCTATCCTGTAGGCTTTGGTCCTCTCACCTGTACATCTACCCAAGCTGTGCAGTTTTATGGGAAATCAAAGCAAGCCTTGAGTTGCTTAACTTTTGGAAATCTTGCCATAGCAACTTTAGGAGGAAAGACTGAAAGGGGGAGGAATGGAGAGAGATTGCCAGTCCTGGATCCAGCGTCTGACCTGCCAGTGGGGTGTCAGGCATGGAGGGAAAGGGCCCCCCTAGACTTGTACACGTGCTTACCTATAGGCCCCAGTACCCAGTGCTTTTGGAGCCTTCTCTTGCCCCAGTTCCAGGACTGGTTGAGACACCTATCAAATCAAGAGAAACTGTCAGCTGGATTGGGCTGCTAGGACTGAAGTTTCTCAGGAATGGCAACATAATGGTGAATTATCTTTGACTTGGTGGGCACGTGAAACGGCTAGGAGGAGATACAAAATAGAGATGAACTCAGGACTGAAAAGTGGAGGTGAACATGAATGATATCCACCCTCAGCAAGTTTGCTGATGATACGAAGTTGGGAGGATTGGCTGACATGCCTGAAGGCTGTGCTGCCATTCAGCGAGACCTGGACAGGCTGGAGAGCTGGGCAGTAAGTAGCCAGATGAGGTTTAACAAAAGCAATTGTGGAGTCTTACACCTATGGGAGGAATAATTGCATGCACCAGTGCAGGTTGAGGGATGAGCTGCTGGAGTGGAGCTCTGCAGAGAGGGACCTGGGTGTCCTGGTGGACGACAGGTTGGCCATGAGCCAGCAGTGTGCCCTCGTGGCCAAAAAGGCCAATGGCATCCTGGTGTGCATTAAAAAGAGCGTGGCCAGCAGGTCGAGGGAGGTGATCCTCCCCCTCTACTCTGCCCTGGTAAGACCTCATCTGGATTACTGAGTCCAGTTCTGGGCTCCCCAGTACAAAAAAGACAGGGATCTCTTGGAAAGAGTCCAGCGGAGGGCCACAGAGATGGTGAAGGGCCTGGAGCATCTCTCCTATGAGGAAAGGCTGAGTGAACTGGGTCTGTTTAGCCTTGAGAAAAGAAGACTGAGAGGGGACCTGATCCAGGTCTATAAATATCTGAGGTGTGGGGGCCATAGTGGTGAGGCCAGTCTCAGTCTTCAGTGGTACGTGGAGACAGGACAAGGGGAAATGGACATAAGCTGCAGCATAGGAAGTTCCACACGCATGTGCGCAAGAACTTCTTTACAGTGAGGTGACGGAGCACTGGAACAGGCTGCCCAGGGAGGTGGTGGAGTCTCCTTCCCTGGAGATGTTCAAGACCTGCCTGGATGCCGACCTGTGCGACCTGCTGTAGGGAACCTGCTTTGGCAGGGGGTTGGACTCGATGATCTCTGGAGGTCCCTTCCAACCCCTACAATTCTGTGATTCTGTGTAGCAGATGTTGTATATACTGTGCAAGCTGTTTGTAGAATACCACTGAAAAACTCATTTTGATGGCATGTGCAAAGTAATATAGAGGAATATTTTGAGAAGTACTAGAGTTATTTAGAAAAAAAATCTTCTAAATGCATCTCGTAATTCAAGTTAGATTTCTTAGCTTAAATGCTTTAAAGTATTTTAAACGTAATTTACATGAAATTCCAGTTTACCATATTTTATGGTGCACAGAAATATTTTTGTGTGTACTTGATGAGACTGTCTATATTTTGTAATTCTATTTGCAACGTGAATTGTTTCCAGAGCAAGCAATTGTGTCACAAGCAGAGTTTTATGGCTTCCTGTAGATTCTTGACGGACTAAATATTTTTTCTCCCTGAAAGTGAAAAACAGAGGCTAAGATTGATAATGAAAATGAGCTTACAAGGATATATCTCATCTTCAAAACCATATTTTATGTGAAACATCAATCTATTTTTAAGTCAGTAATTACAAAAAGGGGTGATATTTAGATGAATAAAAATATTTCTCAACCCAAGTAATTATTTTAAAAGGAAAAAACTTCTTTTGAGATGGTGGATTTTAGGAAAGAGGAAGAATGACTTCTGTCAGAGGTATTAATGTGGAGAGCAGAGTTGAATGAAAAAGGTCAGTATAAATGTAGGAAACTGAAGTCAATAGTTTGCAGCTTACTGTGATTAGAAAAAAAAATTAATTTTATAGCTCTTAGGGAAAGGCAAAGCTAGTATATCTGACGTGACTAACAATATGCTAGGTTTTCCCTGAAACTAGATAATGGAGCAGAAATTATTTATACTAAATCATCAGTAAGGTAAATGGACAAACATAGCTACAACTTGAAAAAATTCATTTAAAGCTGATGATCTATTCAATAAATAATAAATGCATTGTGATTTTAAATAATGAAGTCAGTGATCTATTTTTCTTAAATTTCTCTTATAAGCATGGCTGTTTGCTCATTAAATGTTCTCTCTCTCCCGTGTGAGAACCTTCTTCATTCTCACATCTGAACCACCTCTTGGGAGTTTTGCTGCCTGAAGCTTTGCTCTTTCACATCAGCCTTTCTCCCACGTGCCCTCAGCCTTGCCTAGTATGCTTAGTTCATCTCCAGATAATATTTCATGATTGCTGTTGCTACATAGACTTTTCCGTTTTGAACAGTATAACTGGGCATATCTTTCACTTTTTTTTTTTTTTTTTTTCCACTTTTTTCAATGGCCAGAGGAATATTTTCTGATAAAAGAAAGAGACTGTATGCAAAAAATAATCTTTAGAAGCAGAAATCTCCAGTTCTAACATCACCTCTTTTTCTACCCCTTCTTTGATGATTTACTGGGGTAAAACTGCATCCAGTCTCCTTGCTTATTCTTTACAGTTTTATCCCCAAGGTCATGGTGGCATTTCCACTTGTTTTTCTACTATTTGACATCCTCTATGGTAGAGGCATTATATTCCTTTGTGAACCTCCTCCAGTTTTATTAGCTTTTTGCCATATAACTTTGATTCTTCAATAAGTAGCTCATCTGTGCCTTTTCTTTGTCAGAGTTGTTCTTCATTCCCTTGTACTTCTGAGTGCAGTAGTATCCTGGTTACTGAAATACTTAGATTTTTTGCCTTCTGTGTTAAGAGCCTTGCTCATTGGTGAAATGTAAGCATTAACAGTAGTGAATTCTTACTTTCTCATGTCTGTCACTCTTATATTATTTTTTTTAATCTTAAATTGCACAATGGAGTCTCCTACTTTATTTTTTGTCATTGTATTCCTCAGTTTAGCCTTTAATTTTGCATATTTCTTCCTTCTTGTAATTTTCCTTGCATTTCTTCTCAAGGACCATCTGTGCTATTTCCTGATCCTGAAAGTGAGCGTATGGAGAAAGAAAGAAAGAAAGAATATAATGAGAGAGAAAAGCACACAACACGTTTTATGATATTTAATTGGTGTGATCCTCTTCTCCTTGCAAAACCTTTAAATCCTTATCCTACCTAATTACATGTAAGAGGCAAAAAAACAAACAAACAAACAAAAAAAACCATTGCTTTATGTCATCCGAGTGGCATCTTTTTAGGGGGAAAAAGAAAAAAAAAGCTTGTTCTTATAGCTCAGGCTGCCTCAAAAGGAAAGTGCTTCAGGAGTGCTACCTTGTAAGGTGGATTACTAGGCCTGGCTCTTTTGACAGTTTTTAGTATTACATTTCTCGCATATAAGTTTTAACACACAAGGTAGCCACTGAATCAAGATTAAACTTGCTGGAGACTTTTTATATGCAACAGCCTCTGTATTTTAGAGTGATAGTTCCTAATGCACTCCTAAAAATATCTGTATGTATCATTCAAGTACCAGAGAGATTTCTGAGTCCTTCTTCTAAAGGTTAGAGTAAAATCTACTCTTCCACCTTGGAGTTAGTGTTGATTCCTCTATAGTTTTGAAGGAATGTAGGCAAGTTGTTTGTTCAGAGAAGGGCAGCAAAGCTGGAAGGGGTCTGGAACACAAGCCTTATGAGGAGCATCTGAGGGAGCTGGGATGTTCAGTCTGGGAAGGAGGAGGCTCAGGATTAGGGCTCTAAACAACTACCGGAAGGGAGGTTGTAGTGAGCTGGGGATCATCCTCTTCTCCCATGAAACCAGTGATAGGACTAGAGGGCATGGCCTCAGGTTGCTCCAGGGGAGATTCAGATTTGACATTAGGAAATAATTTTCTGAGAGTGGTCAGGCGCTGGAATGGGCTGCTGGAGGAGGTGGTGGAGTCGCTGACTCTGGAGGTGTTCAAGAAATGTTTAGGCATTGTACTGAGTGTCATGGTTTAGAGGGAAATACTGGTGACAGGTGGATGGTTGGGCTGGATGATCTTGGAGGTTTTTTCCAACCTTCGTGATTCTGTGGTTCTGTGGTTATAAGTTGTCAATCTGGAAAGTAACATGCCCTGGGGATGGTTTCCAGCTCTTTTTCTCTAGAGCCGGAGGTCATTCAGATTAAATGGGTCCAGTCCTTAAGATGTGCATACAATGACATATATATTAGATATATTCTGGGGAAAATAACATTCTAATTTCTTTTGTTCTAATGACCAACAGAATGTTCCAGATGAAGAAGATGATCAACTTGATTAGATGCAAAAATTTTCAAACACCCTGTGAATATCGTAGCACTCTCTTTCACTGAGTCAGTGATGTCAGAGCTGCTCGAGTATTGACTCTGAATATGTAGCCCTGCAGGAAAAATGTAGTATAATATTGCTTTGCTGCAGCTTCTTCACCATTGTGAGCAAAGCACTAAGGTAAAAAATACTGTGCTGCTTCAGTGATTTAAAAAAAAAAAAAAAAAAAAAGGTTTTTTTTGGTCAGCACTGCAATACATAATACTTTTGAAGACAAAGACCCATTTTAGACACTTTTTTCATGCTGACTTGAGAAACAGCATGCAGCAAAAAGTTGTGCTGATTCATTTTGTATGCATACATTTATTTTGCTTTGCTGTGAAAAAGAATATACTTCTGCTTTTGTAGATGGGGAAAATATTATGCATGCTGCTTAGCTGTATTAAAGCCACACTGGACAAATAAGTCTTTCCGGTGTTGTTCTGAGGTCTCTGGTGAAGGAGCTGTGCATGAAAGAGTTGCAAGTGGCATCCTGCGGGCTCCCTGATGCAAGTTCATTTTCAGAAGCTGTAGCCTTAGATGCACATGTTACTTTGTGCTTGTTGTGTAGTTGTTAAGCATGCTCTGGTGTGCAGACAGAAAAGGGACTGTAAGGTTGGAGATGTCTTCCTGTAGTTGAGAGATAATTAATTTGCCTTCTTCACAGCAGGAAAGAGCTATGGATTCTCTTTCTTATGTTGATAAAAGTAATGAGAGCCATTCCTTTAAATTAGTTGTTTCCAGACTAATTGGTAGGTTGAGTATGATTTAAATACTTAGCCAGTTACAGGAATAATACTGAGTAAGTGAAGTGGGACATGCTTTTGCATAAATGGATAAGTAAGAAATTTTCCATACACCACGAGCTCTTGGTTGGTTTTAAAAGCATTTTTTATTATTATTATCTGAAGTTACTTATGTACTGTAGGTGTTATCCCAATGTTTTATAAGTTGTCTATTCTACTTTTTAATGTAATGGTGCTGACTTCACTGGCAAATCAATTGGCAAATAATGTTTCTCATGTAACAAACTAAATTACAGTTTGTCAGCTGGAGTGGAGTTAGATATCAGTACATGATTTGGTAAATTTTCTTGAGTACTCACATGGTTCAGTGAAAACTTGAATTTAACCTGAAGTTAAACCTGAAGTTTTCTTTGGGGGTGAGGAAAAAACTTCTACTCAGAACCAGTTCTTTAATCTCTCCTGCTGAGCTACCTTCAGCACCAAGAATTCCTGCAAGCCTGCACTGCATACCTCCTCACGGAAAAGTAGTGTAGCTTTAATGGTATAAAAGAGCTCTGGAAAACCAATCCAAAAAGAAAACTGGAAGCAGGAAAATACCACAGTTCACTTCTAACTGCCTGTCTTGTTCTCTTTGCTTCATTTACCCTTTGTCCTCCAGGTGAGCTCAATTCAGAACCAAATGCAATCCAAGGGAGGCTATGGAGGCGGCTTGTCTGCAAATGTTCAGATGCAACTTGTAGATACAAAAGCAGGATAACCTTGGGGATATCTTTCTAGTAAGTATTGATCTCTGCTTTTTTGGCATTATTAGATTAGTAGGGAGGAACATTCTTCCACGTGCCATAGTTATCTCCTTATAAATAGCTGTGTGCCTTATGATGCATGACTTTAAAATGCACTCCTGATTTTTAAAAAGCAGTACTGTGACATTGTGTTTGGCTTTTTTTAATATAATGAACAAGAGATTGTGTCCTGACTGCATCCTGATGTCTATAGATCTTTGCAAGTAAAGTTAGTGCAACACATCAAAGAAGAATTTGATTACAGTAACATTTTTACAATATCTATGGTTCATTAATTTAATTAACCATGTTATGTGTGGTGTTAAATCATTGAAAACTAACGTTATGGTAGAATGGTCACTCAGAAGGTTCAAAATTTAAGTTTAACATGTTTTCTGTGTTACAGGTTAATGTGAGTTTCTACATCTTCTTTCCTGTGTCCTCTCTTTTGCCTTGGTGACTGCTTTCTGTGTTCATGAAAAGAGAGAAGTAATGGCTTATTGTTCACCCTTTGTGATCACTCCAGTGAAAAGTTGCTGCTCTGCTCTGATGATGCCATTTTTCAGATTGGTCCAACTGTGCCTTTCAATGGCATGCACACATTGGCCTCTACCAGTACCATGGACTTGGAGCTTTTTAGGGTTGTTTTTAGGTTATTGTTTGTTTTAAGGCAAATCAAAGCACCAGCCTTAGCTTCCCTCACCCCTCACAAATACTAATGCACAGCATTGTGTTGCTTTTTATTAAGTCTTTTTCTCCACTCATGTAATTTAGAAATGATTGAGTTTCCAGTAATGTTTTTAATCACTCGTTGTTCATATCAGTTTTTGAAAGGTCTGGGACCTGCAAGCACAAATGATTATTTGTTACAAAATCAGCAGAGTAGATGACTGCATGCTTTGTGAGGTTGCTTTGTACGGTGGCCTGTTTGGTGCCAGAAAAAAAACTGTGTATTGCAGACTGATGATACTGTTGCTGGTGAAGAATTATGCTGTGACACAAGTCATGCCTGTTTCTGAAAAAGGACTTGTAACTTAGCTGCTTCAGAGTTATGTCTTTATTTTAGTTTTTATCCAACGGGTCTTGAAATAATAAAGAGAAAGCTTGCATTCATAAGGCATTTGTTGTAAATGTTCGGTAAACCAGTGTAGTACCGTATCTCAGTGTTGTGGAAGCGCTTTAAACTATTTAGAAAGCATCATGTTTGACTGCTTCTTTTTCTTTTTACAATTTTTCTTGATTTTAGGCTGTGTGGTCATTTCCAGTGGCAGCATGTCAGACTGCCTGCAGTATTAGCTGAAACGTTTAGTAGACCTCTCTAAGTAGTTGGCTGTTTCTGTGTACTAAATATTTAGGGGCCATGGAAGTTGCTAAGAGCAACATACTAATCTGGCAGAACAGATGCCAGTGAAAACAACATACAGGGTGACTTTTTACTAAGTCAGTAAAAAGCCTTTTGCTCAGGTTCCAAAGCATGTTTCTTTCACACGTTGTGAAACTTGTATTTTAATATTGCACTGTTTTCTGTATCTTATCTCTGTAAATGGTCTCTTTTCCTTCTTGCTATAGTTTGGAAAAAGTCAGTGATGCTAGTCCTGCTTGAGTTATTTTTTTATGTGAAAAAAATCATTCCAAGAAGGCGTAAGTGAGCCTAGTCAGATCCATTTTTGTACATAAGCACACACGTGCTTATAAATATAGACTGCTGTCATAAGTGACTCTTTACTCTTTTTCCATGCTTTCCCTGATTTCACATTGCAACAACTGTTAGACTGAGTCAAAAATATATAAACCTACCTACTCTTCTCTCAGTTCACACACACCACACCAAATGCAGGATGGAGGTAGTTTGTTTCCCCTCAGTAGTATTCCTGTGGTAGATGTCAGTTATCTGGTTGAATAGCTCCAGTTAGGCTCCTTAGTCTTCACTGTTGAAGGTACTGATTCATGATGACAGAAGATCAAGACATTCAGTTCTCTGGGTACATAAACACATGTCAATGAAGTGATTTTTTTTAAGAATCAGCATTTCCAGTGCCACGTAAATCAATGAGTCTTAAATACACAATGATTAGAAAATGATTTGAACTTTGACATCGTTAACAGCAGCTTAAATTTGCTTGCCAAAATGATCTTGCACTTGTCAAAATGTTTCAGCTCACCAGAAAAAAAAAATTGACATATTTTTATAATAGACATACTTTTTTTTGTACATGACATTCATTCTTGAAAAAAGTCAGTTCAGTGTTGGCTTGTAGACATTAAGAGGGAAATATTGACATTGATTCAATAAATGTTTTCTTTCAGTTGGTGGCCTACCTTTTTCTTTCTTGTAAGTTACATTTACGTTAGAAAACAACTGCAGATTACAAATTTGGTGAAAATTCTCAGGATAACTTCTTAATATGGGTAATAGGTGATTGGTAAGGCTGTTTGTGTTTTTGTTCATGTTTCTTGACTGTTTTGTTGTCAAGTGCATTAATCCATTATTTGATTAGTAGTTTTTGATTCACTGATTTAGTGTGTGTACCAAAGAACTTTGCAAGGATTGTGGAGAGGAGGTTCCACAGTAAGATATTGATTAAGGGAGTGGAGCATCTCCCTTATGAGGACAGGCTGAGGGAGTTGGACATCTGTAGTTTGGAGGAGACTGAGAGGTGACCTCATTAATGTTTATAAATAGATAAAGGGTGAGTGTCAGGAGGATGGAGGGAGGCTCTTCTCAGTGACATCCAATGATAGGAAAAGGGGCAATAGGTGCAAGCTGGAACACACTCAGTTCCACATAAATATGAGAAAAACTTCTTCACGGTGAGGGTGACAGAACACTGGAACAAGTTGCCCAACAAGGCTGTGGGGTCTCCTTCTCTGGAGACATTCAAAACCCACCTGGACGTGTTTCTGCGTGACCTGATCTAGGTGTTCCTGCTCCAGCAGGGAATTGGACTAGATGGTCTTTCAAGGTCCCTTCCAATCCCTGATGTTCTGTGATTGTGTGATATAAATGGGATACCTTCATTTTTCCTTTGACAGCAGAAGTGACGTGTATGTTTCTTTATCAATTGTTACGCAGATTACTTTACAGTGGAGATCATAGACTAGTTATACACCTGATTATAGTAATATCCAAATCCGCATTAAATATCCCTGTAAGGCACAGTATTATCTACTCAGTATTTGTTTCAGTTCACTTACATTTTATATGACAATCTCAAAGTTAAGCACCAATTTACTACTTATTCATACTAAGTTATTTTGAAGACTGACACTGAGTCATCTTGTTACAAGTTTTTGAAATTTCCAGTTTGTAAGAAATGAGTTCTGACAATCACTTCCCTCTTCCTGCTGGCCACCCCTTTTTCAATGCAGCCCAGAACACAGTTGGTCTTCCAGGCTGCAAACGCACACTGCTGGCTGGTGTCCAGCTTCTCATCTACCAGGACCACCAAGTCCTCCTTTCCAGGGCTGCTTTCAAGGGGATCTTCCCTCAGTCTGTATGAATACCTGGGACTGCCCTGGCACAAGTGCAACACCCTGCACTTGGCCTTGTTGAACCTCATTAGGTTCACATGGGCCCACTTCTCCAGCCTGTCCAGGTCCCTCTGGATGGCTTCCCATCAACTCTTCAATCCAGAAATCTTACTTTATCTATGCAGTTATGTGTTCATACATACAATACATGTTTAATTACAGCACAATTCCTGATTTCAGTATTTTCTCTGGGGGGGAGGTGGAGATGGGTGGTAGAATAGTAGACAGAGAGTCGATTAATCCATATTGAATTTCAAAGTCTGATTTTTGAAGTTATTTTTTTGCATGCATTAAGGGCACCTTAAGAAAGCATTGAAAGTGATATTTGAGTTTCCAACGGTTTCTATAGGTCTGTCAGCATCTGATTATTCTTATTTCCAGCCCTCCTAGAAAATTTCCATGCATGCTACTAAAAAAAAATCCATGAATCAACTATTTTCTGCAGGTTTTTTTATGCCTTTTTGAAGAAGAAAATAAGTGCTATGTCCCATTCTGAAACTATTGGGAATTAATACTGGTTTACTAAAAAAAAATTCTTGAATCACTACTGCAAATGTATAACTGGGTAGATTCCTTGGAAATAACAAAATACACAATCAGGCAAAACATAGCAATACAACTTTATCAGTCTCAGTTGCATGCAATATGTATGCAGATACTAAAATATTTTTTATTTAAACTTATTTGAAAAGTCTATGTAATGGAAAGGAAGTGTGTGCGCACTTGCAGAATTCAGAAGAAAAAACACATGGGTTTACCCTGTACTTATGGCATGAAACACAAAGCCACTTGTGTCTACTTGTTCACCTCATCACTTAACATTACTAAATCAGCTATACAGATGTTTGAATAAATTATTTAAAGATATGAGCTACTCAGCCATTTGTCAAATATTTAATTGAATTCAGCATCTCTAATGATAATGTGCAAGCAGTAGACCTGACTGTACATTCACATACAGTGACTGTGACATTGAATGTATTGAAAATAATCCCTGAACCTCACATCCCTGAACATCTTGGTGGGAACTGGGGGAGCAAACCTGTAAGGGCGGCACAAGTCTGAGGCTGCCTCATGTGACTGTGTGTGTACAAGTTCATGGGGCCGCATGACATGCATTCGTGCATCCCAGGGTCCTAAGGGAGCTGGCTGATGTGGTTGCCTAGACTCTCTCCATCATATTTGAAAAGTTGTGGCTGTCAGGCAAAGTACCTAGTGACTGAAGAAAGGGAAACATCACTCCCATTTATAAGACATGAAGGAAGGAAGATCTGGAGAACTACAGGCCACTGAGTCTCACCTCTGTGCTTGAGAAGATCACGAACCACATCCTTCTGGAACTCATGTTAAAACACATAAGGGACAAGCAGGTGATCCAAGACAGCCAGCATGGCTTCACCAAGGGCAGGTCATGACCAACCAATCCAGTGGCCTTCTACGATGGAGTGACGGCACTGGTGGACAAAGGTAAAGCAAATTATGTCATTTACCTTGTGCAAGGCCTTTGACCTGGACCCCTCTCACTATTTGGTGGATAAGGAATTGGTTGGAAGGCCATAGACAGAAGGTTGTGGTCAACGGCTCTATGTCCAGGTGGAGGCCAGCAACAAATGATGTCCTTCAGGGGTCCTTCCTGGGACCAGTACTCTTCAACATTTTTATCAGTGACACAGATGGTGGGGTCAGGTGTACCCTCAGCAAGTTCGCTGATGACATCTGAGCGGTACAACTGACACAGAAAAAGGAATGCAGAACATCTAGATGGACTTGAAAAGCTTGGAAAGTGGGCTGATGTGAACCTAATGAGGTTCAACAAAACAAAGTGCAAGGTTTGGCACTTTTGATAGGGGGTAATTCCAGACATAGAATGATAGAAGAACTCCTTGAGAGTAACCCTGCTGAGAAGAACTTAGGGGTCCTGGTAGATGAAAAACTTAACATGCACCAGCAGAAGGCCAACTGCATCCTGGACTGCACTAGGGTAAGGGAGGTGATTGTCCCCCTTTACTCTGACCTCATGAGGCCTCATCTGGAGTACTCATCTAGGGATGGGGCCCCGACACAGGAAAGATGTGGGGATTTTGGAGAGGGTGCAGAGGAGAGCCACTAAGATGGTCAAAGGGCTGGAGCACCTCTCCTGTGAATAAGGGCTGAAGGAGCCGGGCTTGTTCAGTCTGGAGAAAGCTACGAGAAGACTTTACAGCCTTCCAGCATTCAAAGGGACATTATGAACAGGAGAAAATCAACTTTTTACAAGGGATAATAGTGATAGGACAGGGGAGAATGATTATAAACTAGAGAAGATTTAGATTAAATGGCAGGGAGACATTTTTCACTGAGATGAGATGCTGGAACGGGTTGCCCAGACCGTCTGTGGATGTCCTGTCCATGTAGGTGTTCTAGGCCAGGATGGATGGGGCCCTGGGCAGTCTGCTCTAGTGCTTTATCTAGAGGCTGGTAACCCTGCCTCTGGCATAGGGGTTGGAACTTGGTGATTCTTGAGGTCCCTTCCAACTCAAGGCCTTCTATGATTCGACGAAAATGATGTCCTAGCTGCACCAGTGCAATACAAGCTGTTCAAATGC